CTGCTGCCTCTGTTCACGGAAATTTAGGGACAATGAGACCCGGGCAGGAAGCACGTAATAATAGAGCCCTCCCCTCATCATTCATAACCAGCCATTGACTCATGCTGATCCACGGGCTCTAAGGGTGATATTAGAGCCCGCGGTAAAAGTAATCACGGTGCACCTTTGTCAGGTAAAGTCTTTCTTTCACGGTGCCTAAGCAACAGCTGTGCTTCCCCATCTATGGTGAATTACAGTTTCGAAGCAGATTTTGAAATAGATAAATAAATATAAACTCTGATGTAAAAGGATCTCGTATCGGCCTAACAACTCCCAATTTTGTATTTCCTGGAGGTGAACACTGCAAAGTAACATACAGTTATTTAGAAGAATTCCCAACATAAAACCTCAAAAATCAGAACGGAAAAGAAACAAAGCAAACATGTGACTCTCGAGTCCGGCCAGACTATCTGACCCGCGCTTAAACAGCACGGTGACCGGGGAGCAAAACTTTGACGCTGCGGTCGCCTCCTTTCCCAAAGAATAAAGACACCCGACTGGGTGATCGCTCAGTGCTTGTAGACCCCACAATCTGTGGATAGCCCTTCTTCCGACGTTTTTGTAAAAATGCAAAAAGCGTTTACGCGTTGCAGAAAAATGAGAAAACATAGCGAAGCAAATAGAAAACACAGACTCGAACCGTGTCTCGCTAGAAGTTGAACACACTGAAGTTCGCACCGCCGGAGCCTCGGAGCGCAGTGCTCCAGCATCTTCTGTCCTTGTCCACGTGCTTACAGAACAACCACGCCACCGCCTGCGAACTACGTGAGGTTTTCGAAACGAATTGGCCGAGCAGATCCGAGGCGAGGAAGCCACTGATGGCTCCCTTCTATTTTGTCACTGCTCCAAGCACTTTATGTGGCATTTAACACACGAAGGACGCCTCTGAGGTGGGTACCATTCCTGATTTGAATCACGAGGACACGCAGCACACTGAGGTTCAAATGACGTTGAAGTCACACGGCTGGCACGTGGCAGGTGGGTCCCACCGGGAACCAGGCTCCAGAGTCCCCACGGCTCACCTCTGGACTGGCCTGCGATCCGGGCGGAGGCCGGGGTGAGCACGCGAAGCTGGGCAAAGGGACCGACCCGCACGTGCCCAGGCCTTGCAGCCACGCTGGCCGGGGACACAGCACACGCGGTTCCCAGTGGGACCCAAGCCGACGTTCACACTGCACTTTTCCTGACTCCTGGTGACCTTCGGGGCTGGAGGCGACGACTGAGAGTCCAACTCAGGACATCGCCTGACTGCGAGGACACCGGCCTCGGCGCCCGTCCCGTCCCGTCCAGGCCAGAAGCTCTGCTGCCTGAGCGGGCTGCAGCGATCGAGACGACCGTGCGGCTCCAGACTCGCGTGCACCTGGCGCCCCGCACAGCCACCAAACGCGAGCAGTCGCGGGGCGATGACGCTGTCGGCTGTCTTCTCACAGAGCGGACTTCAACGAGGACGTCCCCTCCATTCCCCTTTGCTCCTGCCTCCAGACGGGAGCCAGCGAGCTACCCTATTTTGTGTTTAGTGACAGAGTCTGAGTAACCATTTCATGTTCTCTGGCCTGAATGGGAAAGACATACTACGAATTTTCACTGGGCAAGTCTCATGGAAACTAAGAACAAATGGGCGTTAATTACTGAAGAACGAGACCCTTAGTCAACTACTTCTGTGATAAAACACTCTGATAACAAGTATTTGTCATCTCTGTGACGAGATGTGGGACAAGGTGAGATGAATCTAAAAGCCAAGCAAAAGGCAAGGCGGCCGCCGACTCGAGGTGTGCGGGGTGATTCTTGGGGTCCTGCCTGAGACCTTGTTCCTTTCTCTGAAGGAGCAACCCCGTGACGTCCCCCGTCGGCCACGCCCTGGGGCTCTGAAGTCAGTATTTCATTGCGTTGTGCACACGATTCACTGACATGAGGCCCACCACCCAACAGACATTTTGCTGTGTGTCACGTGCAGAGGCCAGAGGGGCTGTATCTTTAAATAATTCTGTACCAATGCCGGGGGAGCCCATCTTTTAGAAAAGTCTCTTCACCCTTAGGTCTAGAGAAAGAGCAGTGATAGCTTCCGACAGAATTGGTCCCTTGCCTACCTTAGGCTTTAAACCGATAAGATTTTTCACTTTTATTTAATAGAATTCGGCATAATCCGATGCATTAATGTAGTATTTGCCATGTGGCGAGCACTGGGCCCTGGGACGGGGTCGGGGGAAATCTGTGATCTGCGTCGCATCACAGTGTCACTGGTGCGGGGGACAGCAAGCGGACGGGGACCCATAAATGTACCGGACGAATACTCTGATGGAGAGATAGACCAGGAACCACAAAACGAAGACTTCTCCTGTTGCCAAGGGAGAAGTCACACTTCAGCTTTACAAATAATGACGAAAATCATACTCTGGATTGTGCCCTTCCAAGCCTGTTGGTAAAGCCATTTCGGTAAATGACATTCTCATCAACCCAGCCGCTACGCTATGCCAGAAATCTGCGTGTCATCCTTCATTTTCGCCTCCGACTCCTGCCTCCAGCGTGTCGGCAAGTCGCCTCAGCCCGGCCCGCCTGCGAATGACGCCCGACTCGACCCACGTCCCGCCTCGATCCACGTCCCACCTCGATCCACGTATCCCCCGCCACCCCCGCCCGCCGGCTGCCCGCGTCTCCCGCCCGGGTCACCGCCGCGGCGTCCCAGCCGCACTGCCTGTGTCCGCTCTCACTTTCTGAAGCCGACTTCCCACAGCAGCTACGCACATTTTTAAACACACACACGACTCTCTTGCATAAAATCCCCCACGGGCTTCTCATCGCACTCGAAATAAAACCCAGGCTTCTCTCCACGACCTCCGAGATCCGTTCTGACCTCGGCCTAAACCGCCCTGTGGCCCGCTCACCACGCTGGAACCACGCTCGCTCTCTGGGCTCCGCCGTGTGCTGCGTGTTGCCCCAGGCCTCGGGGACTTTGCGCAGGACATCGGCTCAGCCTGGAAGGCCCCTGGCTCTGCTATTCACAGGACTGACTTCTCGTTCGGGGCTCGGTTCGTACGGCCCCTCGTCAGAAAGGCTTTTCACGACAACCCTTGTTAAGGTGACAGTCCACCCCACTGGGACTCTGTGTTACCATACCGGCTTATCTTACCGTCTAAAAGAATCAGATTCTTGTTTTTGTTTGTGTATGTTTGTTTTCGCCTGTGCCCTCTGGGAGAATGCAAGCATCTGATGGGGGCTTTATCGTTCTCATTCATTGGTACCCAGAGTTGTGACTGTCACACAGCAAGTGCTAAATAAATACACGTTAAATGCATGAATAAATGAATGATTGATCCAAATCTACGTTATTTGCTCGAAACCCCACTGTGCGGCCTACGCCGTGGGGATGCTCAGACCCCCGCACAGGGGGCGTATCTGCAGATGTCCCGTGCCAGGGTCCAGTGTCCCACCAGCACCTGGCACTCAGTTCTTTCGGTGCCAGGTCAAAGAGGAGACAATCTGGAGGAAAATCTGAGTTCCAGGCTTGAATTGGCCAAGTTTTTCTTCGAACACTCAGGAAAGCGGTGACATAGAGTGATGGAAAGGGCCATGTGAGGGATCGATGCGCTGGGCTCTGGGGTCAGTGAGGCCGGGGGCCTGGCGTGCATCTGGGAGCCACCGCTTCGCCCGCTGCGGGGCCTTGGGGCTTGTAATGTACCACGTCGGAGCCCTGGTTCATTCACCTGTCAGGTCTACAGCAGGAGTCTCCTCCTACCACTGCTGGGGTTTGAAGGAGATGCTCCAGGTGCAATTCTGAACACCCAGCCACGAGTTAGTGCCTACAGAATGCTCGTTACTGACGTTCGTAGCTGACGGCTACCTCACCTGTCCAGGGAATCCTGTTCGTGATGGGAGGTTCAAGTGTATACTTGATGGGACAGGGATTGGAAAAGGATCAAACTTAAACACGTAAACCGTGACTGCTTAAATCATCACGTCAGCCATTACCTAAGGGCTTAACACTTTGTTTTCATTTAATCAACAGATATTTGCTGCCCATCTGCTATGTATCAGGTACTACACTAGGGGCCGGGGACACAGGGCGCTAAGGCAATGCGTGTGTCTTTTAAAAGGAGAGTTTATAGTTGGGGAGACAGCGAAACACACGGGTGGCTGCGACACAGAGTAGGGCTCTTGGAATAGGCTTTATTGGAGGTCACAGAGAAGACACAGCCCAGCCGGGAGACGGGGTCAGCCAGAGACGACTTCCTGGAGAAGAGGGTATATTGAAAACTCTGGAACGACCAGTCTGAGTTGGTCAAGAGACTAAGCGGAGGAAAAGCATGTCGAGAAGAAGGAACATAAAGACTCACGCGGGGGCCCGGGGGAGGCGTGGGCGGTGCCGGGCGAGGCAGGCTAAGGTCCACTTTAAACAGCACGTGGTCCATTACCACACACGGCCAGGTCATTCGGCTGAAATCCATATGCTTTCTTGACATGGTCTCACGAGAATGTGGGGCAGCGAAATTTGCGTCTGCAGTTCACCCAGACAGCCCTGTTCTTCACTACGGTGGGAACTACGCCTTCGGTGTGCTAAGTCCAGACATTATGTGGATAATTTAAAACCTCTTTCTGGACACGGAATGACTCAACTACATGGAAATGATGAATCACCTAATGGTTCGACCTCCCACTTCATTCTGCCTGTGTACACAATTTCAGTGCAAAAGAAACGAGAAATAGATTCCTTTGTTATTTGTATTCACCCAAACCCACA